GCTGCATTCCCCTCACTGAGCCTGTTTCTTCTTGTGCAATGTGAGGATTTCACAACAGTCTCATCTTTCAAGGGACCTGAGTTTTAAAGTCAGTGCTTAATACAGTAACCAATTACAGACAAATTACGCTGTTTCTTTTTAAGCATCAAATGAAAGAGTTGACTTGCACTTAGGAACTGCATTGTATGAAGAACACGTAGCTTTAACTACTCTAAGTCTAGGGCAAGAATTCAAAGCACCAAGAGGTTCTCAATCTGAGAGACACATGGGCCCTGAGAGGCAGTGGGGGACTCTGGATTTATAGCCCTCAGCCCTTTCTCCATCCGGGGCACCCACTTTTTGGTTCAAATGTCAGGCAGAACTGGCCTGAAATCACTAACGCACACTTTCTTCCTTTCTCTTGCACACTACCTTCCCCAACTCTCATCTTCTCCCTTGTTGGAATTACAGCCAGTTCAAATCCAGTTTGATGCAGTTCAACTAGAATACACGCACCAAAGGGACAACTTGCAAGAACTGAACGAAATATGCATCTTTGCCTGTAGCCGGGGTGCACCCTTCACATTTCTCTTCCAGAGCCGGCCGGCCGCCAGCACTGCTCTGGAGCCTGCTGGCCTCCCGCAGCTGCTGCCCCAGGATCAGCTCTTCCCGGCAGCTCCCAGCCCATTCGAGTGTGGGGAAACCAGAGCCAGTCCATTCCTGCCCAGTTTGGTCTCCTCTGATGGGCAGGGCAGTCTTTGCCCTGGGGCTCTCCTGCGGGTGTCGTGAAGACTTTTTCAGAACTGCCCTACATGTCGAAGGTGTCATCCAATCCTGCCTTCCCTTCCATCCTTACCCTCTAAGATTCAGATCAGCATCGTGGTTTGAGGCTTTCCCCAATTCTGTCTTGTCACCTGCTTCCCAGAGGACCTGGGCTGACACAACGTATAAAGTACAGGGCATAGAAGAAAGTTCGGGAGATGTTAGGTGTTACCGTTAGAACAATTAGGATTTGATTAAACTAATGACTCCACTAACAGAAGACACTCAGAGAGGCGCATATTCCCATGATGACCTGATCCAAGAGTCCTCGGTAGACTCTCAGGCCTCGCCTAGCCTGTCTACCCCGGTGGCACCATTCCAAGGAGATCATTCTGTTTTTCTGAATGCTTCACGGTGCAGAGGGAATTTCAAAACCCGCTAGAAGATTTGGTGAAAGCTTCAGAATTAGCTGGAAAAAATGGGCCTCCACAGCCCTCTGTCTTGGCAAGAACAAACACCATGGTCCTAAGAGCCTTCTTAAAACAAGTATTGCTGAAAGCCACATTCATTAAACAACAGAGCCTTTCCCGAGGGAGTTCTGTGTGAAGTCATTATGGTCTACCTAGTGTGTGTATTCCTGGTGCACACGGGACATTGATTCGTCTTGCAGAGGAAAATGATGGTCAAGGCAGCAAGGGAAAACATAAGGGTCTCTGAACACACCCATCAATCTGCAGCCCTAAAGCACGGCCACTAGAGCAAAAACACTTTTCAGTGACAGGTCCCCCAAATACTGTTGAAAACCCTCTTACGATGACAGCTATAAACTCCATTCTCCTGAGATCTAAGAGGCAGGTTCCAATTCAGTGACCACAGCCTTCACATAGTAGCTATCAACAATATGATAATGGCTTGTGATGAAGGTGTTGCCGATGTTTGGCTTACCGCAGCAGAGAAGCAATGAACAATCAATGGCAATTAGGTGCTTAATAAAACCACTTTGGAGACGCTGCTGCTGAAAAGATTGTCACAGGTCGCACAAGGGACTCAGCAATCAATCCCAATGAAGCCCATGGCTGTTTCTTTTTGAAAGCACTTCCTCCATCAAATACAGACTATGTGACTTTTGCTCCATCTGAAGGAAGGGGAATCTACTTTGATCTGATTACTCACAGAAAAGCCACAGGTACAATGATCACCGAAGTAGACCCTGGACACACTTGGGTCAAGGGCAAGACTGGGGAGAGGTAAGAGGAAATCCCAGTAATAACCTAGAAAGGGAAGAGCAGACACCCATCACAACTGCACACTCCCTGCCTTTGAGGAGGGGAAAATGATATCGAAGTATTAGGAAAAACAAATGGGATTGTAGTTACCTATCTCTCTACAGATTACTCAGTTGAGGTTTCCAGTCCTGTTTCTATTATACCAAGTCCACTCTCGCTTGATACATCTTTTGTACCAGAAAGAACACTGGCTGGTGAGCATGATAGACCCAGGCCTGAGCATGGTTCTGAGCCTTCCCTAACTGTGTGGCCATAGGCAACCTACTTCTCTCAGAGACTCGGTTTCCTCATCTGGAAAACAGAAATAAGAATAACTACCCGACAGGGTTTTGTGAGACAAAATACCCACATGGGTGTGAGAAGCCTCAGCAGATTTAAAATCCCAACAGATTTAAAATCAACTCATAAAGCTTAGCCTGTATCCATTTCTCTGTCCCCGTGGCACCATTCCGAAAAGATCACTCTGCTTTTCCTCACGCTTCGCTGTGCAGAGAAAATTTCAGCTATCATATCACATGTGACAGATGCACGGCCCAGAGAGCAAAACTGCTGTCCTATATTTATCATTGGCCCTAAGAAATAAAGATGAGGGATTTTTTTTTAATACTACAATTGTGAAATCTCACATTAACATTAAAGAGTTTGGGAAGTATCATAAAAAATCCAGAAGATGGGGTGCCTGGGTGGTTTGGTCGGTGGGGGCGTCCGACTCGGTTTTGGCTCAGGTCATGAGATCAAGCCCTGCATTGGGCTCTGCACTCAGCAGGGAGTCTGCTTGAGAGTCTCTCTCTCCCTCTGCTCCTCCCCCAGCTTATGCATGTGCTCTCTCTAAAATAAATAAATAAATCTTTAAAAAAAAACCCACAAGATGGCTGGGTAACCTCATCATCATCATCATCATAATTAACATCTCATTAATTAATTACTTTATTAAATTCTAGACACTATTTTAAGTACCTTACATTGATTACTTCATTTAATCCCCAGACTACTCTATGAGGTGGGAACCATTATTCTCCCATTTTACAGATTAGAAAACTGAGGCACAGTGAAATTTAGTAACTTGTACAAGGTCACACAACCTGCAAGTAACGAAGGCTAGTCTTGTATACAGGCATTTTGATTTCCAACCCTGTGTTCCTACAAGTATGCCAAAGACGGGACTTCCGGAGTGGCTAGCAAAGTTCTATTTCCTGACCTGAGTGGTCTTTGCTGTATATTTTATTCATGTGGTTTTCTGAATCAGTTTTAATCTATTAAAAATAAAAAGTAATAATACTAGTAGCTAAAATTTTGTCACTTGATGCTTTGGGCAAAAATGGATGTGTTTTGCAATCATAGGCACAAAATGATGGTTCTGCAATATTGTAGTATTTGTCTCATGGGGTGCCTGGCTGGCTCAGTTGGAAGAGCGTGGTGTGACTTTTGATCTTGGGATCATTAGTTCGAGCCCCATGTTGGGTGTAGAAACTACTTAAAGAAATAAAACTTAAAAAAAAATTTGTCGGGCGCCTGGGTGGCTCAGTCGTTGAGCGTCTGCCTTCGGCTCAGGTCATGATCCCAGGGTCCTGGGATCGAGCCCCGCGTCGGGCTCCCTGCTCGCCGGGAAGCCTGCTTCTCCCTCTCCCACTCCCCCTGCTTGTGTTCCCTCTCTCGCTGTCTCTCTCTGTCAAATAAATAAATAAAATCTTTAAAAAAAAAATTTGCCTCAGATGTTTAGGACCCTGGCACAGAAGGAAATGGAAATTGTATTTTTAATGTGTGGTAGGAGGTGCTGTTGTTCAAGAGAGTCCATTGGGAAATGGGGAAATGGTATAAGGGAAGCATTTTTATTTTGGCATGCTGAATCACTCTATGCCTTGACTCAACACTCAATATTTTTCTCAACATTCATTTACTTCTCTCTTCACATATTTGTCTCCTAATTTCTCTTTCTCCTCTTTCTCTCATCCTTTTCTCTTCTTAGCCTCATATCCATATCCTTCTAGTTCCCTTCTCCTTGTCTCTTTCCCCTTTTATTATATAGAACTTGAGAACATTTCTTATTGGTTTTATTTATTGATATTATGATGTGTTGCTTAGTCTTCATTAAAAATTGTTGACTAGATGGTAGACAAACTTCAATTAATCCTCCTGAATTAAGTTTTCATTGACACGGGTACCCCTTGATTGACTTCTATTTTCCTAGCTTAATGGTTAATACAAAACTTTGTACCTTAAGAAATTTTAGGACTGGAAAGATTACCATGTTATGGCCTAAGAGGAAAATGAAGTTTATGGGCATAAGTAGCCCAAAGTAATCTTACTCCTTATATACTTCTTGTTTTTTTTCTTTTTTTTTTTTTTTTCTCTCCTATAGACACCCAGCAGAGAAATCATATGCCAGGACTGTTTCTTAGCCTGTGACCCAGTTAGGGATTAATCTTGCTATTGTAAAAGAGGTCTATGACAAGGACATACATTCAGAGACTCCAGCACTGTATGTAAGGATGGGCCCGCAAAGGCTGGGTGTGGCCAGAAAGATCATGCCCTAAGTCCAGAATCTCTGGGCCCCATTCCCAGAACTAATTTGTGCACTAGGACATGGCTCAAAAAATCTGATTACTGGGCAGAAAAGTATATTTTTAAAAATCTCCTTCTCTCTGCTAAAGAGACACTTGCATTCTTTATTTAACAGCTGAATCTAGGGTGCTCCTCAGTGTAGCATGTATCATCTTCCCACTTGAATAAGTACTGGGCACTCCAGCCCTTCCCTCATCAACACAGTCCACACCAGAATCTCAGAACTCCATGGGGCCCTGCCTGCCCCTGGCACCTTGGAAATAAAGACCCATCACATGGGGCCTTTATAACAAACCCTTGTCCCCCAGCCCACTTCGAGTTCTAAGACTTCCTTGACTCTCTCTTTGGGAAGTCACAGCCTGATCAGGACCTCACACAGTTCCACTACATCTGCTGGGGAGCAGCATATACCTGTTGGAATGTTCTGTAAGCAGGCCGGGATCCCTCATCCTTGACCTCTTCCCCCGGGGCTGAGAACACTATTTCTTCTTCCTCCTCCTCACTGTCTTCAGAACAGGAATCAAAGGCATCAGTATAATACTCTTCAGCCATAAGCGGGTCTTCTGGGATCTCTGAAATAAAGAATAAACAACAATCGGGTCCTACCAGTCATTAAATTATAATAAGTCTAGGACCCCCCCCCCATATTTTCCCAGAGATGTATATTATGTTTGCACTGACAAAGCTTTCATGGAGTGTAGAGCTGAATCTCAGCTTCCTGAAAGTATCTGGTTGACTTTAATAAATACTCAGAAAAATTAAACCAGTAGAGGAAAGGAGGGATGACTCTATTTGCAACCATATTTTGAAGGTGGAAGGATAAAACCATGAAACAAGAAGAAATGATCTCCTTTAAAGTCTTTACATTCAGAGGCATGAATCCTTATTACAAATGACGGGATTTAGGAGCAAATGCCAGATGAGATGCCTTGGCTGTGGGACCCTATTACACACCCACATTAAACTTTTGCAGAGGCAGTTGGAATGGAACTCTGTCAGCACTCTTCCTGGTTGTTTCTTTTTTAAAGAAAATATGAGTGGTGAGACAGGCAAGATGGATAGGATATATAGCAATGGCATTTGGGCAAGCTGAGGAAAACATTATGGTTCTTTCCCAACAGACTATGAAGGCTTTTGAGATGGAGTTCACTCTGGGACCCTGCTTACTCACCTCTATACGTGGCGTTTACATATTTTTAAGATTTTATTTATTTATTTGTGAGAAAGAGAGAGAGCATGCACAAGCAGGGGGAGCTGCAGACAGAGGGAGAAGCAGGCTCCCCACTGAGCAAGGAGCCTGATATGGGCTCGATCCCAGGACCCTGAGATCATGACCTGAGCTGAAGGCAGACTCTTAACCAACTGAGCCACCCAGGTGTCCCTATTTTTTTTTAAAAGGAAAGACCACCCATTTAAGTTGATGCCAAGAAGTGGCTATCTAAGTCATTTGATGCAATGTTATTACTAACTAAAAATGTAATTGGTGCTTATAATAGTTTTCAGCCAAGAAAGGCCAAGAATGGATCACAAAAAAGCACAGTGATATCAACCCCAATTTACTAATGAAGGCCTAGAAACAGGGAAATACCACTGGGGAGAGGAGTGAATTACAGAGTGACACCCCTCCACATTAAAACCATGGGCATAAGGGTAACCTAGCAGGGTAGGTAGCTATGAAGATTCTGTAATAGGATTCTTATGAAAGCTTTGCCTATAGGCAAACTTTATAAAATGTTCAATTTCCACATCTGTAAAAATGGACTTTTCGTTAGCTGAATCCAGAATCCTCCAGAAGTAAGATACTTAGTGGGCTACTTTAAAATCTTTGCTCCCTATGGTTTCCCATAAAACACAAGAGGCAGTGTCATGGCATCAAAATTAGCTCAAAAGACAAAAATAACATATACTCAAAACTGCCTTTACCAGTTCCTTAGGAAGGAGCATATTGGGCATTTCGGTAACTCCAGCACAGCCTGTTTTTCCCTTCAGATCAGTGGTTTTCAGTTGAGCAGCAGATGAAATAGATTATTTGTATATAGGGGTCACGTTTTGTAAAAATCTTTATTCAACTCACACTCAGAATGGCTCAAGGATCACAGCAAGAGAAGTTTATGAAAACTAACATCTACCGAGAAGATAATTCAAGTCTCTAGTGTTGTCCTCAAGTAGGGGCATCTGCTGGCTGAATGGAATGGTGGACAGGATCACGTGACTTCCTGCGTCTCTTCCTCCCCCTCCCCCTGTGTCTCTCTCTTTCTTGTCCATTCTCTCCCCCTCTTCCCACTCCCTCCTATTTCCGCTTCCTTTCCCAGAGGCTCTCTGTCTCTTTGACAGTTATTCATTCATTTACTTATTCCCTATTTTCTCCTTCTTTCCCTCTATTCCTCTTCTCCTCCTCCTTTAGCCAGAATATTTGCTTTCAAATTTGACTGTGACACAATAAGAAATATCATTTCCATTTTGTTGTTCAGCACACAGAAATGTGCTTGTATTTGTGTATGAATATAAATATATTTATAGTTGAAATGAAAGTTTCATGCATCAAGATTTATCCATACTTAAATATGACACATTCTGGTCTTTCACATTCTATTCAATTTTTTTTTACAATGCTAGTTGCAACTTGCTAAAGTGATTTTTCAACACACAATCTGAAAAACACCTGTTGAGAATGCTGGCTTTAGAATCCAAAAGACCTGCATTTAAATCGAGGCTCTAATATCAGCTCTATAACAGGCATTATTTAAACTTCCTGCACTTCAGTTTTCTCATCTGTAAAATGGAGATGATCATAACCATCTCTTAGGATTGTTGTGAACATTAAATAGTATGATGGATGCAAAGCACTGTGTACATGGTAGGCATCAAATAGATGTCAGTTACTAACATGTAACACAAAACTCTCTATATGTTTTGCCCATAATGCACATCAGGAAGAAATATAAATATTAGACGATCACAGATATATACCAAGTTTAATTTTATACACACACACAAAATAGAATCACTTCTCAAAATCCATAGCATACCCATGTCAAATGGGCACTAAGGCAACGGGCCAAATCATACAGACAAACCATTCTCTTGATAAATACTGAGCCCCACTTCCCATAACATGGCTCCTATGCACAGTCTTAGTCTCAGAGGAAAGACTCTCTCTCACCAGGGATCCCCTCCCCCGAAGGAGAGGAAGGAAAGAAATGGTCGGGGCGGGGGGGGGAAGTGCCATCGTGGCACTTATGCCTCAGTCAGGAAACAGACTGGGATGAATCCACCTCCAGTATTTCTTAAACAAGCACCACTATCTTGGTGCAGCTCAAAAAAGAGTTCATTTTCAAAAGGAAAAGTCAAAAGAAATGTTAAGTCTGCTCAAACTGTGTTTGTCAAGCTATGTGTTTTTTGTACGTGGGCCCAATTGGAAGCCTTGTTAGGCTAAGGCTCATTTCTCCTGTCATTGAGGGAAAATGGTCTGTGATAAATAGCTTTAATTTCCTCGCACCCTGAAGTCAGCCTCATAACAGATGCGCTGGAGTGGCATTCCAGATCTCTACTAGGCTGGGTGGGCAGTGACAGTGTGTTTATGAAGGAATCCAATTATGGCTGCCTCAGCCTGAGTACAGTTGCTGCAGATCCACGACAGAGAAAAAGAGAAGAAATCACCCTGTTCCATGAAAAGGATGCTGTTTGCCAGACCCTTCAATTAAGACCTTAATAGGGGCGCTTGGGTGGCTCAGTCAGTTGAGCTAATTGAGCCACCTGGGTGGCTCAGTCAGTTGAGCCAGCGACTCTTGGTTTCGGCTCAGGTCATGATCTCAGGGTTGTGAGATCGAGCCCTGAGTTGGGCTCTGAGCTCAGCATGGAGTCTGCTTGAGATTCTCTCCCTCTCCTCTGCCCTTCCCCCTGCTAGTGCTCTCCCCCACTCAAATAAATAAATAAATAAAATCATTAAAAATAAAAAAGACCCTAATAAACCCCTTCCTCTAAGACTTCAGTGAGCATCAGGACCACTTGCATGGATTGTTATAACACACATCACTAGGCCCCACCCAGTTGCTGATTCAGTAAGTCTGGATTGAGGCCTGAAAATGTGCATTTCAAACAGGTTGCCAGGGGATGCTGGTGCTGCTGGTCTGGGGCCACAACATCCAAACCACTGTTCTAGGATGTCACCAGTTCAAATAAAAGTACTATCATATATTATTACATAGATGTACTATAATAAAATACATAAGACTATAATATCTCTACATTTTCCAACCTTATATATTATAGACCCCAAAAATGAAGAAATAAACTTTACTTTAGAAGAGTGCAAACTGGGGGTGCCTGGGTGGCTCAGTCGTTAAGCATCTGCCTTCGGCTCAGGTCATGATCCCAGGGTCCTGGGATCGAGACCCGCATCAGGCTCCTGCTCCGCGGGAAGCCTGCTTCTCCCCCTCCCACTCCCCCCTGCTTGTGTTCCCTCTCTTGCTGTCTCTCTCTCTCTCTCTCTCTGTCAAATAAATAAATAAAATCTTTAAAAAAAAAAAAAAGAAGAGTGTAAACTGTTGTGCCATTACTTTCTCAACTACTCACAATTTCTGTGAAGTTTTAGGGCACTATTCCCGTTTTACTGACGGGGAAGAAGAAAGCTATGATGAGCAGCCCAAAGTTACAACACTTCATAGTTTGCAAAAGCACATTCATATCCATTATTCCATTTAATCATTGCAACAGTTATTCAAGTTAGACCAGGACAATGATTTTATCTCCTTTTTCAGATCATGAAAATGAAATTCAGACAGCCTAAAAATCAACCGAAAGTCACATAGCTGTATGCAGGGTGGACACTAGATTAGAACACAAATAACCTGAATCCTATCTTTTTCCCATTGAATGGCACTATTTCGTGGTTAGCTAGGGATTTTCATGTTTGCTAGTAAAACCAGGTCATGGATAAAAGTCAGGATTGTCTTCCCCCACCACTCTGAAAGATGTTGGACAGCAAGGGATAGACTTTTGACTTCTGAGATGGGAAAACTAAAGCTTAGTCATCCTGGTGAACTGTCTGAAAGGAGCTGGGGATAGTGAATGCCAGGGGCCCTCCCTTAGGCTTAGCCCACTGTCACTCCCCTCGACCTCAGATGTGCTCCAACTACAGTGTACATCGGGATCCCCCTGGAGGCCTGTTCAAACAGATTCCTGGCCCCATGCCCAGGGGTTCAGATGAGTGGTCGGGGGGGGCGGGGGGGGACGAGAGTCTATATGATGCTGCTGCCAGTCTGGCAACACACTTGGAGAACTAGCGCTCGACCTAGGACCTTCAAGGAGAAAGTGACCTACAAGCACAACTGTTTAATGAGCCACTCCCCCATACTTCGCCTATTATTGTATCAGCTCTTCAAACTTCTAAAATGATCAGAAAAATGCACTGAAGAATTTTTTAAAAAGAGGCAATAAAACCAGATTTTTGCCTAAAGTCAGAACCAAGTTTCCTTTAAAGGAGCTTAGTTATGTAGCAGGAATACCTCAGCCTGTGCACCTGCCACCATTCTGAATGATTCTAACCATTCCGTATGCCTTGAACAGATGC